CAGAGTGAAGCTGAAAGAGTATTTAAGGAAATAATGGCAGATAAGTTCCAAAACTTGGTAAAAGACATAAATTTACAGATTCAAGGAGCTGAACAAATCCCGAATAAATAAACATAAATAAATCTTGAACAAGACACATCATAATTAGAATTCTGCAAACTAAATGCACAGAAGAAATCTTGAAAGCAGCAGAGAAATGTCACATTACCTATAGGGGCACACCACTGAATGACAGCAGGTTTCTCATATTTGAAACCATAAAAGCCAGAAGGAAATGGTACATTTTCAAGTGTGTCAATTTGAAGGGAAAGAATCGCCGACCATGAATTGAATACCCAAAGAAACTATCCTTCAGGAATGAAGAGGCATTCCAGACATTCTCAGATGAATGGTAACAATGAGAATTTGTCACTTAGCAGACCTACCCTTAAAGAATGGCTAAGAGAATTTCTAACAACAACAACAACAACAACAACAACAACAACAACAACAACAACAAAAGACATGATAAAGGAAGGACTCATGGAGCATCAGAAAAGAAGAAAGAACAATGGAAAGAGTAGAAATATAGGCCAATACAATAGATTATACTTCTCATGAGCTTTATAAGTATATAGGGTCCCTCTTTTGTCCATTATGTTGTTTTTATCTTGAGTCTAATTTTATTAATAATAACATTTTATCTGGGTATTCTTTTAGTTCTTTGCCTGGTATATCCTTTGCCATCACTTTGTTTTTAATACTTCTCTGTTGTTTAGTTTCCAGTGTATCTTTTGTAAAAAATATATTGCTGCATCTTGGGGTTCATGTTAGTTTTTTGTTTGTTTTTAATTCAGAGATTCTCTGCCTTTTGACGGATGGGTGTGACTCATTTACATTTATTGTGATAAATTCTATAATAAGTCTCATTCAATGTTTTCCCTTGATCATACTTTATTGTTGTTTCTTGTTTTCCTGTTGTCTGGGTTCATTAAATAATCAATTATTTTCTTCTGGTTTGAATGTTACATCTACTTTTACTCTCATGGTACTTGTACCTAACTTATTAAAACTCACACCTATGTTTTTCCCCCAATTCCATCCATTTATTAAGCTTGTGAATATGTGTATTCTCCCTGTAATCAAGACAAGTAACTTAATTACCTCACTTTTGCATTTCTACTTCCCACCCTCATCCCCAATGGTATTAAAATTTTAGTACTGGATCGTTGGGTACACGTAGTTGGTGTCACCCTGTCTTACTACCTCTGTTCCTTCGTTATGATGATAAACTCTTTACTAAATTCTTTCCAAGATGATGATAAACTCTTGGCTAATTATTTCTCTTTATTTATATCTTGAAGCATCTTCTTGAATTTTTTCTTCTTGCAGAAATACTTCGTCCAAGAATATTTTCAAGGTCTTGTATGCATAAGAGCGTCTTTATTTTGCCTCAATTACATGGTACTTAACTAAAATTCTAAGTTTTATCTTTTCCAATTTGAAAACACCATTACACTTTCTTCTGCAGTCAGTACTACGATTGAACAATCAGATTTATTTTTGCGATTATTATTTACTGAAGGGCCACACAATTCCAGGTGCTGTTTTTGACACTGGGGATTTAGCATTGAACTTTGTTTTGTAGGTGATCTGTTTTGTTTCTGGGAGTTTTTAGAGTTTCTTGTTATTTATTGTGGAAGAGATAATCAAGAGTGACTGCCAGTTGAGCTGTGAGTTAGACCCAAACAATGGGAAGCTCCTTGCCCCATCCCTTGTCCTTGGAAATATATATTCTGCCCACCGTTGCCACAGTAAGGGTCATTTTGGGGATGCAGCCTTTAGAGAGTAATGTGTTATTGAGACCATGTGGACTGAATATGTGACTGAACCCAGTTAAGGCCTCTTTATAAACTTTAAAGATTCTGGTGGGTGGGTGCAGAGATAAACTTATCTTGCAGCACTCAAGACAAGCTGGTATATAATTTCCTTTGCTTATTAAAATTGCTGCTTATTGGGGCACCTGGGTGGTTGTCGGTTAAGCATCCAACTCTTGATTTCTGCTTTAAATTTTTTTTTTTTCAACGTTTATTTATTTTGGGGACA